GGGGAAGGGAGGGGGAAGGGAGAGAGGCAGCAAGACCAATGACCCACACGTTTATTTTTTATTCACTATCATCTACTTAACACTTAACGTCGTCAGACCTGAACATCAGAGCCCCGGCACCGGTATCAACTATGCTAGTGGTGCTCTGTAAACACTGATCTTATTTTGGAGGAAAGGAGGGTGTGGTTACCCAAGAACACAGATTTGGTTCAAATCCTGGTTCTGACACTGGGATGATTCTTGCCAAGTTGCTTTCTCTCTCTGAGCCTTACTTTTCCGTCTAGGAAATGGGAATAACAACTCCTGCCTTAAAGAACTGTTGTTGGAATCAAGTAAGAAAGGATTTGTAAAGGGGTTAAAGAACAAATGGCATATCAGCTGACCACCTGACCCGACAGCCTGGCTCGGTTTCCCACGCTCCCTGAAACCTCCACCTCCCACAAACATCAATACTGCCCTTCCCTAAGCCAGGCACTGCCTGGGACTTTTGATGATCACACACTGTTTTGCATTTTATGTTACTGTTTTGAGTTGTATATTTCACCTCCCAAACGTATGCTCCAATATGGTAGAAATCATGTCCATCCTTAAACCTCCACAGTTCTTTGCATAATGTTGAACATTCATTCATCCATTTTTACTTTCATTCTTTCATTAAATAAGTAGTCCCTGAACTCCTACAATGTACCAGACACTGTTCCAGGCACTAGGGTAGTACAATAAGTGAAATCTGCATAGCCCCTGCCTCCACGGGGCCTGCAACAGAGCGAGAGAGCGCCCACTCTGACCATAACTATATGGTTACAAACCCCATGCAGGGGCTTACAGAAGAACCACGAGGTCTTTAGGATCTGACTTAGGCTGGGAGGGAGGGAGAAAGAGGCATCCTTGAGGACCTGGTGCGCAAGTTGCCTTTAGAGAGATGAGTAAGAAGGAGCCAGGGAACGAGCCAGGGAGAAGCAGACAGAGGCACGGCCTGGGTTAGGAGCTGAGTGGGTCAGTGCTCTGGATGCTGGAGCACAGACGCACCATGGGAGTGAGGAGAACGCCGTGAGCGCTGAGACTGGAGAGGCAGCGGGAGCCAGGAGACCCCGCCACGCTGCAGGGTTTGGATCATTCCCTCAGTGCAGTGGAAGCTTCTGAACAGAGGACTGACAAGCAGTACCTGTGCAATAAATACAATTTTAATTGAACTGCCAGGATCCATCCTGAGTAGTATATAAGTGAGGGGAAAATCCAAATACTTGGAGAGTAAAACTAGTGCGGTCTCCGAGTTCATTCTCATTCCTATTGCCACAGATCTTATAATACCTTAATTTCCCACGAAACAGGAACATGGTCACTGAGACTTTGGACTGAAAGCTGAAATCCAACACTGACCGTAGACAGAATTTTATGAATTGCTAAAATCTACACTATTTCTCACCCTAATCCACTCGCCCTGCTACATAAATCGCAGCCTAAATGAAATGGCCATTATTTCAGATGCTGTGGTTTATGACATTTCTACGAGAAAATTGAGCTATTTTGGATAGTATGCTGCTTGTCTCCTTACCTGCTTCATAGGACGGAGGGAACCAATTGTTTTCCATCCACTGAACGCTGTCCAATTTGGGATCTCATTGGGCTCGAGTAGGATTTGTCTTCCCAAGAAATTGGATCCTTCATAAGCTATCCACCTATATGAGAGCAGGAAAGAAAAGAAGGGCTTCAAAACAAAAGGCAGTCCCTAGATTACAACATGTGGGGTTCATTTTTTAACATCTAGCTTTGTAAATACTTTTAAGAAAAAAGTACGTAGTTCTATTTTTTAACAGAAAAAGCAGGGATGACAAGTAGAAAGCCCACTGGACTTGGGCTCAGAAGATGTGGACTCGTTAGGACTCTGGTTTCTTTACTTCCAAACCAAGGTTCCCTCCAGCTCCAAAATTCCGTCTTCCTTTGAGAATACTATCATTTTTTACATCTTAAATTTCAAAGACAGACCCCTCACTATTACTCAGTTCAAAACACTGGTTTATTCTCCCACTCACAGGCTGATCATCACGTGTCCTTCAGGGCCCCCAAAGTGCCTCTGAGGACAACTTAAAACCATCCACAGAAATCCCACCTCGCTCTCACTTCAGGGCCTGGCTCCTGTGCAAATCCTTCTCAACACCCCGGGGCCTTCAACTCAGGCGAACCTGAGGTGTGTGACTGTGCACAGGGCTTTGAGATGCACGTCAGGAGTCTCGACATTGCATGAGACAGTCGCGCCCATTCTTCTATGGAGTCACACTGGCTGCTTTTCCACAGCAACGAAAGGTTGAACATTTGTGACAGAGACGACCCACAACCTGAAAAGCCTACCTGGGCCTTTCCAGAAAAAGTCTGCCATGCCCTGCTTTAGGTGGTTGTCAAGCTGGACAGCTAAGGAAAGGACACAGGGATCACCAAGAGGACTGGAATTATCAACAGGACTTGAGGTCACCTCAAGCAGCACCTTCAGAAAGTACGTGTGGAGGACACGGGTCTGCTTTGCTTGGTTCACACCAAGCACCTGCTCCCCAAACTCAGATCGGCCTTTGCTAAACGATGGATGGAGGACCAGCATGAGACACAGAGGCCCGTCCACTTCTCCTGCTTTGCAGGTGCTTTAAACGGCAGGGAAGTTTCAGTTACATACCTGGGCAAGGTTTTAATAAACTGCTCCTCATTATATATTAACCTAAGCGAGTTGCACAGCTGAAAAGCTGTGAGGGGTGGTGAACTAAAGCACGGCCCTTGTTAGCATCACAGATCATAGATATGGAATAACATGGGGATTAAACAAAACTAAACAAAACCCGCCACCGCGGGTAGCTGGCTGGCTGTGCACTGAGCAGTCTTCTACAAGCCGTCTGCAGCTGAGGAAACCCTTCAGACAGTCTTTACTACTCCCTATTCTCTGCACCAGTCTCTTACAGAAAATCCAGAGCAGTGAGAGCAGGTGGAAAACAAGTAAGAAAGTCAAGGTAAAATGGCACTAGTTTTGTACAGAAGAGTGAAATGAGACAGTGCCAAGTCTTCAGAGATGGGTCAATAAATATCAGTTCTACTTAGGAATGCAAAGAAATAAATGTACAAAAATGCTGTGAAATGTATAAAAATCCAGGGATATGGAATACAGTTCGGAGTTAAGGGTTAAATACACTAGAATATAATATGGGGGTTATTACACTTAGAGCAAATTCATTTACGTTTCATGAACACCAAACTACGTGAAGTGCTTTGCAGAAAAAAACTGAAACTGCTATTACATGTGAGTAATACAAAAACCATTTATTACAACAGTTGACTGAATTTTCAAGTCAATTTATATTCTTGGCTTTCTCTTTCATTATCCACAGATAGTTAAACATGCAGAGTTGATTATCACACAACTTAAAAGTCATAGGAAATAAAAACAACCCTCTTCATATTAATCACCAAGGGCTGTGTGTGTTCTTTCAGTGGACGTTTGGTTCCTAGCACCAGCCATGCAGGAAGAGGGCAGGCCCCTCATCTGTCAGGCCTTTACCATTCTGTTCCAAATAGAAACGAGGTCCTGGCCAGTTTGGCTCAGTGGTTAGAGCGTCGGCCTGTGGACTGAAGGGTCCCGAGTTTTGCTGGGCCAAAGGCACTTACCTCTGTTGCAGGCTCAATCCTCTGCCCTGGTTGGGGTGCATGCAGCTAGCAACCAATTGATGTGTCTCTCACATCAATGTCTCTCTCTCTCTCTCTCTCTCACCCCCCCCACTATCTCTGAAAAAGCAATGGAAAAATATCCTTGGGTGAGGGTTAAAAAAATAAATAGATATGCAAAGTTCACACCTAATTCATGCATCCTTAATTTTTTCATTTTTCTTAAGGTGATCTCCCCAGACTGTAAAAGTGCAGGCTCCAGACAGCCTGGGTCCCCCTGACCCGACCCAACCTGAGTGAGCAGCAAGGCTGGCAGACAGGCTCACTCGAACCCAGGTGCTCCCAACACGGAAACAAGCACCTGGAGCAAACAGCCCTAGAGCACATGAGATGTCAAATCAAAACATGGTGAAACACCACTAGTCTCATACATAGTTGCTTGTCTTAAACAGTCAATAGTCTCAACCCAAGTTGCTGATTTGATCAGGTTCCTGTGAGCTCAACTGGTCACAGTCATCTGGTCGACCTGCTCTGCGACACACACTCTGAGCACAGGGCAGCCCTTCTCCCCCACAGGGCTCTCTCCCCAGGAGGCATGGGCCACAGTCGTCTCTTAAACAGGAACTACCGGTGTAACACCGAGACAGAGGAGTAAGAGCACCCTCAGATAAAACACCAACAGCAGCGGGGGGATAAAAAGCTACCTTGCGACTCTCCGTTGACAGTGGCGGGACCAGGCCAAGCCCCCCTCCCGTACTTACAGCCCACTTTTCACCCACACGGACTGGGTGTAGAAGTGCAGGTCCTTGTTCAGAACAGAGTTCACAGCCTCTTCTAGGTGTAACTCTCTTCCCTCACAATGCTCCAGAGCAAAAAGGCTGATGGAGGGTTCTTCGAACACCTAGCAGCACAAAAGGGAGGAAGTGTCAGCGTGCGGGATGACCATGGCCGGCCCCCGACACCCCAGGCAGAGCTCCGGGGACCCTGGCTCCACCGTATTCCCAAATGCATAGTTTTCTGCTCTTCCCTCTAAAGATGTTACAGTCGGGACTGCACTGGAGAGATGAGATTCCACTAATTTTTATTCCTTTAAAAATTAAAATCGGTTTCAGAAAACTAACTTAATTTCATAATAAAAGTGGACACTTGCTTCCAATCACATGTGAGGGCTGGCTATGCTGTGATTCAGACCACATTTTGATCCTGCCAATGCTCTTAGCTGGCAACAGAATGAACACGGATCAGAGTGGCATCCTCGCTTCCCAGGAGCCGCAGGAGCAGCCGCCGAGAACGCAGACTTTATGGCTCTGGGCTCTTAGAAACATTCCTAGGGGGAGGAGGCACTTTTAATTTACCAATAATAAGCCAGAATGCACAGGGATGGGGGCGAGTTGTGCACTGGAAGCAAGTATTTCCCCAAACCCTTCATGTCAGACAAGAACAGAATCAATATTGCTCTTTTCTGTTCCTCAGTATATGCAAGACACCAGGCCAGGAGGCCAGGAGGCTTTGGGGGGTGAGAAATCAGTGTCTATTTTGTGGTAAATATTTTAAAGTCTCTTGTGAGCCAAAAATGTTTTTCTCTATTTTTTGTGGGTGGAGTCTGTTCAATATTTATTTATTAAGGCAAATTAATTCTTTTGTTTTTCACATTTCTGAGACCTTAGCACAAGTCCTGGCAAGGATGGAGAAAAAGGAGCCCTCGTCCACTGACGGTGAGATTGTAAATTAGTGTATTTCTCAAAAAATTAAAAGCAGACCTGCCATATAATTTAGTAATTCCACTTCTGGGTGTTTATCCAGTGAAAACAAAAACACTAATTGGAAGAGACAATATGTACCCCTTGTTCACTGCAGCATTACTAGTAACAGCCAAGATATGGATGAAGCCTAGATGTCCATCATTAGATGAATGGATAAGGAAGATGTGATCTCTCTCTCTCACACACACAGGAATATTTGTCAGCAATACAGAGTAATGAAGTCTTGCCATTTCCAACAACATGGATAGACCTGGAGGATATCATGCTAAGTGAAATATATCAGACAGACAACAAATACCATATGTTCCACTTATATGTGGAATATAAAAAACAAAATAAAGCCCGGCTGGGTGTGGCTCAGCAGTTGAGCGTCGACCTAGGATCCAGGAGATCGGGGTTTGATTCCTGGTCAGGGCACATGCCTGGGTTGTGGGCTCGATCCCCAGTCGACGGTGTGAAGGAGGCAGCTGATCAATGACTCTCTCATCATTGATGTTTCTATCTCTCTCTCTCCCTCTCCTTTCCTCTCTCTGAAATCAATAAAGCTACACTAAAAAAATAAAAATAAAGAAACAACAACAAAAAAGAGAAACAGACCCCAGACTGACAGCTCTCAGAGGGAAGGCGGGAAGAGATTAANGGGGGTGGGGGAGAGGGTGGGGAGAGATTAACCAAAGAACGTATATGCATAAATGCATAACCCATAGGTATAGACAATGGTGTGGAGAAGGCCTCGGGGTGGGGGTGGATGCCGGGTGGAGGGGATCAATAGGGGNGGAGGGAAGGTGGGACTAAAAAATAAATAGGAAGTTAAGTAAAAAAGAATGAAAAATTGGGTAACAGGCCTGCTCCACATGTGGGCTACGGGCAAACTGGCAGGAAGCCCCCACAGAAAGATGCCAAGAGAGGCTTTATGCCAGCTCTGACGACACTCCCAGTATTCCTTGTTTAAACAGGAAAACCTCTGAGTGGGTAAGGGACCATCCCAGCCAGCTATTTCCCAGTCAGAGATAGGATCCCTTCCTCCTTGGGGGAAAAAAAATAAATTTTGATAAAGAGAAATAAAGGAAATTGACCTGAGGTGTTAACAAAATAAAAACAAAGAAGACATCAAGGCACCATCCTTGTGTTCAAGGCATTACTAACTAGTAGCTAAATCAGGACAACTGCACAGGTACTGGAGCCTAATTCAGGGTGGGAAAGGGTATGCCCCGTGAGAGGACTTGGAGGAAGGCTAGGTTATTTTTAGCAGAAGGGAGCAGGAATCGAGGCAGGTTCATGGATGTGGTAGCATGTGAGCTCCGTCTAGAGGAGGCAATGGATTTGGAGGGGCAGGGGAAAGTCGAGGGAAGGCGCTCTGTATAAAGGAAGGGAGACAGAAGCTGCCGGGGGGTGTTGGGGGAACAGCAAGTCGACCCATTAGCTAGACTACAGAATCCAACAGACACAGTGCCACGTGCTCCCACTGTTGCTCCCGGCCACTGAGCTGCCCGCTTCTCCTCCCAGCGAGAGGACGGAGACTGTCGCTGCAGTGGGGGGTCCTCGGAGGCTTCAGGACTGGGGACGAGGGCTGGCCTGAGTACCTGCAGCCTGGTACACGAGCAGCACAGCGCGGGCAGCAGCAGGCACTGGGCACGGTCAGCAAAGGACTGACTCTCACAACGGACCCGCACAAATACCTCCACCGAGTAAAATGAGTCGCGAAAGCGTTCTTCCTTGCAAAAGTGTAAGGATCAGCAAAGGATCGGGAATGAGTTAAAAGTCCATCCAGAGGGGACCGGCTCTATACAGCTGTAAAAAACGAGATCTTTATGAAAGATCTCTAAGATGTACCCGTCAGAAGCAAATACTAAGTGAGGAATAGCGTACAGCGGGGTACTGCCTACGTTACCACGATGAAAGGAAGGGAAATTTAAAGACATGGGCACACATACAGGGTGGGGCAAAAGTGGGTTTACAGCTGTGACTACACAACAGTTTATTCCTGTATTATTATTTATTCATCAGTGTTATTTTTCCATGCAAACAACTGTAAACCTACATTTGCCCCACCCTGGATGTGTGTTTGTATATATATTTAAAAAGGTTCTTGAAACAACAAATATAAAACTAACCATGACTACCCTTTAGTAGGATAGGATCTGAGAGGGCAAAGGGCACAAGTAGGAGCCAAGTTTCTTACTACATGCCTTTTGGTACTTTCTGAACCAGGAGAATATGTTGTTTATTCAAAAATTTAAATAGGTAATTATGCTTGTGTGTGTGTGTGTGTGTGTGTGTGTGTGTTCCTTCAGGAAGTGTATCTGGCAACAACCTGAGTGAAGGAAAGAGAACGAAGTAAAGGGAGCGGCATAGGGGGGACACCCCAGGCCAAAGACAGGGAGCCGGGCAGGCGTACCACGGGGCGGGGTGGGAGGCTAGGGCCGGTAAGGGTGGCCAGGAAAACCATCACAGGAGCAAAGCGACAGGACAGACAAG